GTTTAATGGTAGACTTTTTTGAAAGATAAAAATATATGTTATGGTAGACTTGTTGGAAAGATAAACAATTATGTTATAGTAGACTTGTTTGGAAGATAATTAATTGTGTTGTGGCAAATGTAGCTTGAAAATTTTTATATATGTTTGAAAGATAAAGAATTGTGTCCGCATATGGTGAAATCGGTGTATTTAAAAAACAAGTATAACAATACTATTTAACATAATAATAACAAGTCTACCATAACGTTTCTTGCAAAAATCTCACTGTCACCGAACAAGTCTACCATTATTGTATATAAGAACACAAGTCTATCATCATTCAATATAGCCAAACAAGTCTACTATACACATCGAAAACGAAACAAGTCCATCATCATTCAATATAGCCAAACAAGTCTACCATAAACATCGAAAACGAAACAAATATATCATCATAACACAAAATGTCATCATTTAATATAGCAAACAAGTCTACTATCCAAATCGAAAAAATTCTATTGTCATTCAATATTAAGAAACAAGTTTATCGTAACTCAATATAGCCAACAAATCTACCATGTTCATCGAAAAAACAACAAATCTACCAAATTTAACAACTCTACCAATGTCAATAAATCTACCAACTGAAGGTTTTTTTAGTAAAAACCTGAAAACATGGAATAACTCTACCAAAGAAAGTAATAAGTATACTACATATTATAAATCTACCACCACTATAAATAAGTCTACAATCGTAAACCATCAATAAGTTTACCGATCATAAAAATATAAATCTACCAAGGAAGTAATAAATCTACTACATATTATAAATCTACCACGACTATAAATAAGTCTACGATCGCGAACCATCAATAAGTCTACCGATCACAATTTTAAGTCTACCAAACATGAATTTAAATCTACTATTGAGGCATTTAAATCTACCACTAGTAAATAATCTACCATCACATACAAATAAATCTACCACTCAATAATAAATCTACCGAGATAAATCTACCATTCGACTACTAAGTTTACCATTCAAAAACAAATTTACCATTGTTGGCGTTAACTCTACCACTCCAAAACATCTCTACCACTGATTAAAAATAAGTCTACACAACAAGTCTACTATACAAATATTAACTATACCGTTTGTCAATTAAGTCTGCGGACTTGAATTAAGTCTACCAACAACTTAATAAATCTACCGATCAAAATATAAATCTACCGTCACATGAACGGTAGACTTATTCGCTTTTGGCGGAAAATTATTTGCATGCATGTCATTCCTCATTAATGACAGTTTCGTAAATACGTTTTTTGTTTTCAAAAGAAATAAGGGTAAAACGGGTTTAATAAAACCTTCAAGAGTAATATTGAAATATTAGCATCATTTTAGTCAAAAAAAAAAACAAGGTTGTTTTTAGTAAACCTCCCTATAATTTGCGGTTAATCTCAAATAGATGGTTTACGGCCAGTGGTCGACTAAACACCAATCCAACGGTTTTTCTTAGATCAATATATTTTGGAGTGGTAAAAAAAGTATTTATGATAGCAATCACGCTAATGAAAATAGTAGAAAAAGTGTCACCTCAGGAAACATGCGTATTGAAACTCTTAAAAACTCGAGGGACAACTATCAAAGCCGATCGTTATAAGGACTCCTCTGGCATATTGTTCTGACTGGTTATACTGAGTTACCCATATCTAAACCGATAAAACCAATTGCATTGGTTAAACAAATATTTGGACACATTAGGTCCTAACAAAAGATTTTAGCTAACCAGAATCACATATATTAAGTAAACACCTGATTATTGGTGAATGCACCTCGTGATCAAGCAAACTCCCTGCGTTACCTCCCGGTATGATCCTATGTCGGGTTCACAATGTGGAGTCATGGAGGCTCAATTTGAAATGGGCATCTGAGTCAAGTTGTTCTGTGTTTTACCATTGTTGAAGTAGCTACTGGTTCACAATGTAAAGTTTTTGTTGACGATATTCTGATTGATTCGTGGGATTAATACGAGACACGAAGAAAAAATGCAAATCTGGTTCACTTTTTTTAGTTCCTATCAAAATATACAATCATTATATATCATTCAATTTCATCCAAGGGTAATACACAATCTATAGAGGAAAAGTGGATCAAGTTGGATCCATGAACAAGTGTAGCTTGATTTGTTTAAGGAGAGACTTACAATACAAGTCCTCTTTTACAGTTCTCCAATCACAACAACATCATTCATCTGAATGGTCTCTACCTAACGGTTTCAGTTATCATTTTATGTTTCAGTACACACAAAAAAAAAGTGACACCAAAAGCTGCAATCCAACACACACACTTGCTTTCGTATAGCATTCGTACTAATGAAGAAGAAGACATAAAGGATAGATCAGCCTGTGTAGTCCCCATGCGCATATCTGCTTTCTGGGTAGTACACAACAAAGACTTGGTTCCCTCCAAATTTCCTTCCGTGCATCTCCGTTCTAGCCTTTGATGCCCCATTCACATTGGCGTACTCCAAGAAAACCTTCATCAATACAATATCATTAGGGGAATGTGTTAATAAATTAGGTGAAACTGTTTCAGAGAGTTCAAACCAAACCTTTCCAACTCCATGTGTTGGATCCTGATTGGGATTGGGCCTCGGAATCACAACATTCACCAACTACGCCCATTTGGGTTTCAAATTTATGTCATCATATTTTTTTATGTGGGAGACGTTCGAATGGGTTGCGATAGGAAATGGATTGAAGATCTTTTAAGAGTTTATTAATGTTTTATCACAAAAATGATAGCCAAACGATCATATCAAGAATGAAGACAAATAAGGTAAATAACAATATGATAATCTCTTAGCATGTAGATCTTTTCTTTTCTGCGAAAGAAAATATCGTGTAATTGCTTTATTCAATTATTTTGTTCTTTTAAAAAAATGATAATGTATGATCAGTTATTTCATAAGTATGAAGATACGTTCGATTTATACCTTAAGCATATCATCCATCTAAAATATATTCCCACTAAAAAACAAATTAAATTTACTTCCTAAAATTTTAATTGTGTGTAAACTTATACCTTGAACATAAAAATTCGTTACATTATGATGACATGTCACGTATGAAACGAAGTTGGTTACTTCATATCCCAAATAAGTAGTTATGTTGAACTTATAACAAACTCTCAACGTAACTATACAAGTTGTTTAGATACTCTCTTATATAGAGAGAGTTTCGGTTACACTAAAACAAATTCAAACCAATACATTAAACTGGCTATATTAATATTCTTCTTCAAGATGGCACAAATACGGACATGAAGCCAATGATAAATTAAAACTGGGTGGGAAACAAAGCCAATTGATGATCAATCCGGACATAAAGCAATTTCAATTAACAATATACATTAACTGCTTCAACAAAGCAGTTTCTGATTTTTGAAAGCTTAAGAGTCTGCCTTAATTACTCTAGAGAAGGAAAAAAATATAACCTTCTAAGCACTCCACAACACTCTCACACAAGACACAACAGAACAAATCAATATAAAAATCAATAGTTTTACAATCATATCCTGCAAAATAGAGGATCTAATAGCCTGATATTAAGACCCGAATTTTACTAGTTTTATGATGTTTTTCCGAGTAAATCGGTTTTTACCGCAAGCTAATGTGGTGGTATATGAATCATGACATCTCAAGTGTTCTGAAGAAGAATCCCATCTGTGTTTGGACTGTCTCCCAAAGAGGACGCATGCATTCACAGCATGTTTCTCGTGTCATTCCCCAAATCAGATTAAGTTTCTGCAACACGAAGAAACAACATGTTACAATTTTTGTGGTCTATGTGGTTGCGAAGCAACATTACATCCTTTCATTCTTTGATATATCATATATGCAAGTCACAACATAAACATAATTATCGTTGGAAGTAAAAAAACATAGTGAAGCTGTAAATGTAAATAAATCTCCCCAATAATCATATATATGAAAAAATAATTAGTGTACGCGCGCGATTACTGAGAAAGAAGATACAAGAAAATCGAAATAAATAATAATGGGGTGCTCTAAAATGAACCAGACATTAAAGCTAATAGTGGCGGCCACAATGGGGGCTCAAATCAAGCCGATAAGTGCAAACTTGCAAATAGTCAGCAGCAACAACCCCAAACATTGTATTACCATTTTTAATTGCTTCACAATCCTCTTCTTTCTTATCGACTTGACCAATTCCTCAACTTTGGATTCGTTCCCTTCCGTGCGAAACGGGGAAATCAGCAATTCCGGTATGCTCATATCCAGCTTCGGTCCATTCGGGTACCACTCTCCATATAACTTCTCTGCTTCTTGTACATTTTTCAGCTTCAACAAAGAGCGAATCGCACTTGGATATTTACTATCCTTCACCTTTCCTTCATTCTTGTACTCATTCCAAAGATCGTTTGCTTCTTCTATAGGAACAAACACTAGTTTCACTGCAATGGGTCTGTCTTTATCCGGTTTCTTTCCTTTCTCATCAACCAACGCCGTTTTAGACTTCTCCATCTCCTTCACATTGGTTTCCTTCAGCTCACGTTGAAGTTTCTCGACCATATCTTGTTTCTTGAGCTGACCATAGAGAGAAATCATCGAGTTGTACGGGGAAGGTTTCAAGAGGAAACCGAGATCTCTCATTTTCTGAAACGTGGACTCGGCTTTGTCTAGTGTTTTCTCAGATTTAGTGTAAGATCCCAAGAGAGTGTTGTAGACAGAGTAATTCCTCATGTTGTCGGGGATGCTTTTGAAGAACTTTTCGGCTTCTTCCAAACAAGAACAGTCTCAACTAGCTGAAGCCGAGCTGCATAATCTTCGGGAAAAACATTAAAGACCCTTCGTTCACACATCCACTCCGATGCCTAACGCATTACAAAATCACATCAAAAATCTTAGATCTATATTACTTCCAAAAGACTATATACGCGAATCAGAGATTAAAAGATCGAAATCGAAAACCTCAAGTGCTTGAGAAGAGTGTTTGGTGCCATGGAGATTCTTGATGAGGCCTCTTACGCAAGACGGCTTCACTTGATTCCCTTGTTTCACCCATTGTTCTAAATCGGGCTTGATTCCACTCCGTAGAGTATTGTAGGAGCGACGTAACAAACAGCTTCTGTTCTTATAAGCGAGAATACGTCTCGCATGTTGGTGAAGAATAGGGTTTCCGTGATTTTATATCTTTTGGTTCGTGAC